ACACACACACACACTATACACACTTAAACTTGAACACACCACATGAATGATATTGATGAAATTACTCTTTCACATAGAAACATACACACACAGTGCTCCTCTCTTGCAGGTGAATGGCTGCTGGTTAAATCTCTCTCTCTCTCTCTCCATTCTGAACTCGCTCGACTCGCTTTGCCTTCTCCGTGTCATCGCTTCTCTTTTTGCCTCAGCCAATGGGATCGCAGCAGAAAAATCTAACAATGTAACAAAAATGATAAAACCATAAAATCCAGGTGATTGCGAGGTGTGTTGCAGAAGGCGTTGCTATGGTTACGGGTGTTATTTTTCCCTCCAGGGGGTTTTCTCTTTCTCTATCTCTCTCGCACTCTCCTCTTCCTCGGTGCACTCTTCACTGCTGTGGCTGCATCAGAGTCCCCTCGTCACCCTCCTCTTCCTCCTTCTCCCTGCTCCATCGCACTACACTTTTCCCAGGATGCCCCTGTGTAGGCGGGGCTGGGATGCAGCAGCAGCATGTTTCTAACGCAGGTTACTGAGGCAGGCAGGAAGTTGAGGAGACGCATTAAACTCTGTCTGTGTCTGTCTCCTCTAGGTGACATCAGACAGCTACGCGCCGAACAGCAGCAGCGTTAACGGCAGCGGCTTCAGGCCGTTCGATATGGTGATACCTTTCGCCTTCAGGAAGGGAGAAATCACAGGTGAGGCAGGAAGTGATGAACTGATTAAAAAATACAAAGTCCTTTATTTTGGAAATATTTAGCCCCATTTTTACCGTGTTAATTATCTTAGCATTTGCTAATTAGTACTCAACACAAAGTACAACTGTGGCTGATGGGAATGTGATTAGGTTTTAATGTTTTTAGTAATGAAACAAAGTATTGGACAAATTTAAAATGTTGACCTGATGATATAATTCATGGGAGTGGGATCTGAATGTCGGTAGAATATTTTGTGCCAATCTATCAGAATCATAGATATTTTATTGATCCCTGATCCCTGGAGGGAAAATGGCTGTGTAACAGTTGCTCAAGTTGCTAAACAAAGAGAATTATAAGAAAATAGAAATAATAATAAGTATGTTACAATATATACAGAAAATACAAAAAAATAAATGTGCAAAATATGTACATTGTGCTACAGTATAAAACTACAATATATATATAAAATAGAAAATAAAACAATATATGACAGCCGTAGTAATAGAACAGTATACAGTGTAACTGCAGTAAACCAGAGTATTGAAAGTTAATTATTTATATTTACTATCCAATAGTTGTTGAGATAATTCAGTCTGGAACAAAATGCTTGTTTGCTCTGCCAGTTGCTGAAAACCACATTTGTGGTGTGTTTTTCCCATTGGCCACAAGGGGCAGTAATAAGTACTTACTCTGACAAGCCGCACAGTGAGATTTATACTTTCTGGGAAGTGTTTTTTAAAAAAAGAAAAAGGCACCATCTAAGGTTGGTTTGGGTTTGGTTGTTGGTTTTCAACTTTTCTATTGGAACCATCTGTCTTCCAAGCAGGAGATGATTCAGTTCCAGGCAGAATTAAGCTATCACTGGGAATACATTTTTAAATAAACATTATAAATGTGGACCATGTTTACATGAAGAGCCTATATGAAAATACCACTGTTGAAGTGTTCACGTCCTCAGATATATTTTGTGAGGCTCCCACAGAAGCCCTTTTCACCCACATAGTAACTCCAAAGCCTCAGATACTAGTTCCTTCTTTTAATTTCACCACATCTGAACCTGCAGAAACTAAAACTGGATCCTGATTTCTGCTGTCGAGGTGCAGGTCACAGCGCATAAAATGTGTGTTCCTAACACTCTTAAAACGTGTAATAGAGACTCTTCTCATATCTGAGCCATGAATTCATCAAGTTTTATAGCTCATACAATAACAGAAAAACAAATGGAAATATGCAAACAATATATATCTCTAAATGTCTGCCTCTTCGTCTCAGGTGAGGTGCTGATGCCTTCAGGTAAATCAGCTCAGCCGCTGATCTCAGACAACCTGGATGGGACGGTCACAGTGCAGTACTCGCCCACTGAGGCCGGCCTGCACGAGATGCACATCAAATACAACGGCACGCACATCCCAGGTCAGCGCTCTCTCTCTCACACACAGACACACACAGACACCTCATAATGTTTGGACACTGATGTCATAGTCAGAATGAAATATGGAGGTAAGTGTGATTAAGACTGTGTCTACAGGTGGTGTGTAATGTTCATGTTTATGGTTAAGGTGTGTGTGTGTGTGTGTGTGTCTGTGTGCGCATGTTTGTGTGTCGGGGATCTGCAGGACAAAAACATGCAGGACCACCAGTCTGCAATGACATTACACCCTGAGAATCTGTGTGTGTGTGTGTGTGCGTGTGTGCGGTTGGTCACAGTTTCATCTTTAATATATAGTGCAGTTATAGTTGCAACCTGACTGCTGGAATTTGCTACCATTCAGCCACAAGAGCTTATTAGTGAGGTCCAACAGAGACACTGGGCAATAAGGCCTGGCTAATGTTGGTGTTCCAGTTCACAAAGGTGTTGGATGGGTTTGACGCTCAAACAAGTTCAGTTCACACAGATTAAAATGAAAGTTTTTTTTAAAAGGAGATGCTTTACATAATACTAAGTTTGTTTTGAGTGGAGGAACTTTCAGTTGTAGTTTCAAAGCTTTTTGTTCTACGGTTGTTGATTGTGTGTATGTATGTGTGTTGCAGAGTCGCCCCTTCAGTTCTATGTGAACCACGCCAGCAGTCCCAATGTCACAGCCTACGGTCCCGGTCTGAGCTACGGCGTAGCCAACAAGATGGCCACATTCACCGTCTTCACAGAGGATGCCTCTGAAGGTACGGGTTTGTCCAACAGTCCAAAACACAAATAGATTGAATTTCTAATGATCTCTTCTTATTACCGTATTATTAGTGTAGAAGCAGCAAATCAAGTGTTTTTGAAGGTTTTATTTTTATGTAGTTTTTAGGAAATCGGTGATAACATCCTGTTTGAAATATACTTTGTATTTTTGTCTGTCTGTCTGTCCAGGGGGTCTGGACTTGGCTATCGAGGGTCCGTCCAAAGCAGAGATCAACTGCGTGGACAATAAGGACGGGACGTGCAGCGTCAGCTACCTGCCCACTCTGCCCGGAGACTACAACATTCTGGTCAAATACAACGAAGATCACATTGCCGGCAGCCCATTCACCGCCAGGATCACCAGTGAGGCTCCGACACACCCAGACACAGTTTCATAAACAGGCAGATTATTAACGATCAATAATCCAAAACCTTTACAGGAAACCAATCTAATGTCTACCTAATTTTATTTAAACAATGAAATTTGAAAAAGCCACATATGTAATGATCAAGGCTACTGTTTAGACCACCATCTAGTTACTAAATTGATCGTGACAGGAGATGCATCAGGACCTGTCAAACTCAGCAGATAATGATTGATCGATCACAATCTACTTTGGAACCTCTAATTAAATTATCTAGGTTTGTAAGTAACGATAACGTCCTTCAGAGTTGTTGAGAAAAGTAGAAATAAACTGCTCAGTCAGTCATGATCAGTTTGATTATCAGCAGCACGTTGAGCTGAAGTTAGATATTGATTCATTTTTAAGTTCATAAGTCATAATGTATAATGTCCACAGTGGTGTCTTACCTTCGTGAGTGTGTGTGTGTGTGTGTGTGTGTTTGTGTGTGTTTCAGAGGACAACCAGCGGCGCTCTCAGGTCAAACTGGGCTCTGCAGCAGATTTCTCTCTGGACATTAATGAGACGGACCTGAGCCTGCTGACCGCCAGCATCAAGGCGCCATCGGGCCGTGACGAGCCCTGCCTGCTGAAGAGAATGGCCAACAATCACATCGGTAACAAACACACACACATTAAGTAATTAATTAATTACTGTAACAATATGTGTTCATTTGAATCAGTTTCTTCTCTCACTCGTTCCACCCTCTTCTCCCCATTTTTCTTATTTTTATCCTTTCTTCCTCTCCCTCTTTGATCCTCCTCATTATCTGTTGATCATTTATAAAATGTTCCCCCACCTCCCTCATCTCTTCAACCTTTCATTCCCTCCAATTTGTCAATTCCTCTGCCTCTTCTCACCTCCTTCCTCCTCCTCCCCCCAGGTATCTCCTTCATCCCCCGGGAGGTTGGTGAACACCGAGTCAGCATCCTGAAGAACGGCCGTCACGTCTCCAACAGTCCCATCACAATCATGGTCGTCCAGTCTGAGATCGGCGACGCCAGCCAAGTCAAAGTTCATGGTGACGGCCTCGTCCAGGGAACCACTTTCAATAACTCCAGCTTCGTGGTCGACACGCGGGAGGCCGGTCAGTATGCAGTATTCTGTCTTTTATCAATAATATTATATGTATATGTATATGTATATGTAGTGTATTCATTACTATTCTGTAATACTGTACCATCCAAGGGATGCTGAGGGATCAGGAAACATAAGATCAGTAAAAGTGTTTAAAATAAATAATTAAAAATGGGGCTAAATAAATAAGTGTGTGTGTGTGTGTGTGCAGGTTATGGCGGCCTGGCTCTGTCCATCGAAGGTCCCAGTAAGGTGGACATCCAGACAGATGACATGGAGGACGGGACGTGTGGGGTCACTTACTGTCCTACTGAACCAGGAAACTACATTGTCTCCATCCGCTTCGCTGAGGAACACGTCCCAGGTAAGAACTTATTTTGGCAGAATAATTATTGTCTAGAAAAAACTGTTACTGATTTCAAGTCCCAGGAAGACAAATCATGTTTTTGACGATGGAAATACTTTCTTTGTGTGAAGTGTGATATTTTAAACTCATATTTTTTACAGAAAACAATACTCATGGGGAAAAAACATTACTGTTGCATGTGATATTTTAAGAAGCATGGCTGATTTGGTTTTTCTGGGGAGGACGGACTCAAATAGAAGAAAAGATGTGTTCATAAAACAGACTGCAGCTTTTCAACTATTAAGTAAACATAGTTGAAAACTCCCCCAAATACAGATATTCTCTTTATGTGATCATAAAGTTAATATATGTGTTAGTTTTTCCCACAATGTGGCAGCCATTGATTACTTAGACAAATATATATTATAAATCCTGTAGTTCTGCATTGCTTTGTGTATTTGCTAATAATGACAGGAACAGACAGTCAGATACACCTTAAAATCTCTCTTTTTTTGTGTTTGTGAACAGGAAGTCCATTCACAGTGCGGGTGACGGGTGAGGGTCGTATCCGGGAGAGCATCACTCGACGACAGAAGGCAGCATCTGTTGCTAGCGTTGGCAGTGCATGTGACCTCAGTCTGAAGATACCAGGTACACACACACACTTGTCTGACTGAATATGTCCAGTGTCAGACGCCTTGATGTCACGTGCAGTGGTTCTGGTTTTATTAAAGCGAGAAAACATCCTGCATCCTTTTCTAAAACTGCTTCCTGTCTGAAGCTCTGACATTTCTCTGGTTCCTGTCTGTTGTTTCTTACTGCTGCTCTGTACTGACTTCAGTCTGTGTGTCAGCTTTATCTTTAGTCCTTTCTTAATCTTTTCTCTCCGTGTCTTTCTATCCCTCTTCTTCTATCCCTTTGTCTCACCCTGCCTCCTCCTCTTTTAATCTTCTTTTTTATTTCTCCATCTTCATTTCTGCCTTTTTTCTTCCATAATTTCTCTTTTCTTTACCCATATCACTTATTCTTCTCTCTCGCACCATCACGTCTCCCTCTTTTCCTCCTCAGCTTCTCCTTATTCTCTCCTTCTCTGCTTTCTGTCTCATATCATTCCTTTCCTCCTCCTCTTCTCCCACCTCTTCGTCCTCCTCATTCCATTTCCCCTCCCTGGGTCCTCCTGCCTCTTTTCATCCTCCTCTTCCTCCAGTGAGCTGGTTCCTCCTGGTCTTGTCTCGGCAGTTCCTCTCTCAAACCTCCTCCCGCTCCTATTGCTCCCTCTGGTGGTCTGGAAGATCCAGATGTCGCGGGACTCGTTCCTCTGCCGTTGCCCAGGATCAGAGCCTCTCCCCTGGGCGCGTCCGCCTCATTTCCGGCCTGTCCGGTCTGGTGCTGGCGGGGGGGTCTAGGGCGGTGAGAGGTGTTTGGGTCGGCGATGCCCGCTGTTCGGTGGGCAGTACCGGGGTGGAGGGTGCGTTGTAGAGTCCTAGGGGCAAAAAAATGCTGGGGTTGGCAGCACAAGGTTTGCAATATAACATGCTTTATTATGTTGCAGCTGTCTGTCTGTCTGTGTGTGTCTGAGAAATCCACCTCATCTGTTTCTGGCTTTACTTAGTTTTGGTTGGCTGGGTGATACCATAAATATATCCCAATAATCATAAGACTTTTAGTCTGATATCAGAATACACAGATAGGTTACAAATAGCATTAAAAAAAATGTAATAAAACTTTCTCTCTGCAGCGATTGACATGCAGGACGTCACCGCTGAGGTCACTTCCCCCTCTGGAGCCAGTCAGCCTGCCGAGCTGGTCGCCGCGGGTAACGACACCTACTGTGTGCGCTTCGTACCCACAGAGATGGGTGTGCACAGCGTGAGTGTGAGGTACAGGGGTGTGCACGTGCCAGGCAGCCCCTTCCAGTTCACTGTGGGGCCGCTGGGAGAGGGCGGGGCCGCCAAGGTGAGAGCAGGAGGTCCAGGACTAGAGGGAGCACAGGCAGGAGAGCCAGGTACAGGAATACACACACACACACACACACGACACACACAACACACCACCCACACACACACACTTACACACATAGAGACATTATCCTTACACCTAGTTCCTCAACCTTCAGCTTCATTCCCGACCTACAAGCATAGTCTTCAATCAAAAAATCCATTTGTGAGCCATATAGAATAACACTAGCTTTATCCTGTGACTGAAGCACACATCCAGATTGATATAACATTAGCTGCTATCGATGTGCAGTTTTCTTACATCTTTTCTCTTTTACCAGCTGAGTTCAGTATCTGGACGAGGGAAGCGGGAGCCGGCGGTCTGTCTATCGCTGTGGAAGGACCCAGCAGGGCGGAGATCTCCTTCGACGACCGCAAAGACGGATCCTGCGGCGTCTCTTACATCGCTCAGGAGCCCGGTACAGAAAACACACACAGTTTCCCCCGGTGATTGATCACTGATGTATTTCTCTGACTCTCTGAGTTACATTCTCGCTTCTTTCCAGGTGATTATGAGATTTCGGTGAAGTTCAACGACCAGCACATACCTGACAGCCCCTACCTTGTTCCTGTTGTCGCTCCAGCGAACGACGCCCGTCGCCTCACTGTTACCGGCCTTCAGGTGAGGCATGAGGAGACACCTCCACAGCCAGCCTGCCCTGCCTTGTTAAAGGGCTCTGAGGCACAGTTGCATAAATATGTGATGTCAGGAACAAAGAGAGATTTTACTTCCATACAGAGCAGATGAACTGGGTGTGAGGGTTCAACTGGTTTGGGTTTTTGATTCCATATGTTTAACACTGGCATCAAATTTCTGTTGAGTGATTGAAGTTTCTAATTAAAACTCAACACATTTTATAGTAATACATCAGTGAGCTGACAGGAAGTGTATTTTCAAGAGTAGTAATGTGAATTACTGATAGTAAAACTTGTTTTCCGAGCTTTTCCCACTCCAACAGGAAGCAAGTACTTTTGGATCAAGACTTTAGATATTGAACATCTGGCTAAGCACCAGCATTAAAAGAGCCCATATCAGTTGAACCCTTGCAGTTGTTAGTCAAGTTACAGAATTTTCTTTATGCAACTGGCCTCTAATGGATGTGACCACAGCCAGGCAAACACACCGTTTCTGTGTGAAGTTGACACTTTGGCATGAGAGAGGTGCTAATGGAAACATCATGGAGAGAAAAAAATAATGGAAATAGTTAATTGGACACATTCTTAAGGATGAACTAGGCCTCTAACAAACAATTAATTTCATTATAGAATAACTGATTACACCATTTCTTATATGAAATGTAAATAGTAAAAAAAATGCCCGTTGTAATTATCCTCCAAATCCTCACAGTTGAGAAGCTAGAACCAAGGAGTAATCAGTTGTTTTGCTTGTTAACTAACAAATAATTGATTATTATAATTTGGTCGTGTGTCAGTTGACTAACAGAGTAACTGAAGTATTGTTTTGACTCCTGCTATGAACCCTTTCCATTTTGGACACTATGATTTTTTTATGTTAGCATCACCCTCAGGACAAAATACGTCATCATGACATTTACTGAAATCAATAATTCATCGCTGCTGTTCAGTGAAGTCAAACACCGCTGTTCAGTCTGGCTGAGTTAAGTTATCTAAAGTCAGGAAATCTTCCCTCTCTTGACTGCTTTGCCTGGCTCTGGTCATCCCTCATCTGTCTGGTGTGGAACTGCTGGTGTTTCTCTTGTGTTTCATTTAAAGGCTTTTAACAGCACCATCATCTTCATCAGCATCGTCAGCTCCCTGGCTGCCTAGCTACAGCAGACGGAGACGGGCCACACGCGGACTTCCTGCTGTCCTTTTAGAAACTGTAGTTTGTTTTTTGTCTGTAGCTTTAGACAAACCTCTGCTCTGTTCAGTCTGCAACACTGTGTTAGTTAAGGCTGGGTCTTATAGTACAGTACAGTACCTTAAATTGCTCTACCTCATCTCACCTCACCTCATCAAACTGTCTTATATATGAACAGTTTATTAATTTAATTTCCATTTACTATATCATCAACATAATATTGTTATTTAAAATTATATTGTAATTCAGTTTAGGTGTTGAGCCTCAATAATGGAAATTAAAGTATCTAAAACAGCGTAATTTTATTATTCCTTGATCAGATTACAACACAATTTTGCCAATTTGAAACAATTTTTATTTAGTAAAAATTCTTGTAGAGTTGCTTTTGTTTAAACATTTAATACTATAATACATATAAATATACTTTATTCTATTATAAGTTTGTCCTTTTGTAAAATTAAAGCATTTTATAGAAATCGTTCATATTTAATAGTGAGGTATAGAAGAAAGTACTGTTTTGGTGTGGGCACTGGTATTGAAAGATTTCAAACTCTGATAGATGTTTTCACCCAAATAATGAATAATTTATTAAGTGTAACAACTACAGCCAGGGCTAATTTAGCTTATCACGTTAGCATTAGTAATATTAGTATTTGTGTACAACTTTTAGGTAACAAGATGTCAGAAAATAAACATTTTAGGTCATTTATAAACAGTGCCTCCATTTTATAGTTTGTCCATTAGAGAGCACTAACAAGTTTATTTTTACAGTATAAAATGTCCCACTCAGTAAATATCTTCCTTATAAAAATGTTTACGTAAAAATAGTTGGCACAATCATTATCAAATATTTTCTCTCCAACTCTAAATTGTAGTAAACCATGTCAGATTTACTGAGTAGTTGCTTAAAGACTGTACTGTAACACTGTAAGACTGCAGTGGGGCGTCAATGTGTCTAACTCTGCTTTAACACTGTGGCTGTCTGCCTTCGTCTGCTGAAGCTGCACCAACAGGAGCTCAGGTAAGAGTAGAAGACAGTCAGTAAATTACATGGAGAGAAAACAATAGAATAGAAACTGTGAACAGGATCACAGTATTTTTCCTGAAGCACTTCACTCTACTACTTAACAGTGAGTGTGTATTTGTGTGTCTGTGTTTTGAAGTGTTACCTTGCTGTTGGTAAACTGTCCATCCCTGTGCACTCACTGTGTGTGTCCGACCTCGGTAGGAGTCTGGTCTGAAGGTGAATCACCCAGCATCCTTTGCGGTGCGTCTGAATGGAGCGCATGGCAAGATGGCAGCCAAAGTCCACAGCCCCTCTGGAGCTCTGGAGGAGTGTGTTGTCACCGAGCTGGAAAGAGGTCTGTGTGTGTTTTTTAAGGCAATAAATGGCCGTTTTAAGAGGTCTGAAGAAACCTGAGAGTTGCTACCTGTTGCTCTTTATAAACACAAGAAAAGTAAAAAATCTTTGATATTGGGACTTCTGGTAACCAGATTCCTTTGTCCTGTCCTCCAGACAAGTACGCTGTCCGGTTCATCCCAAGGGAGAATGGAGTTCACTTCATCGATGTGAAGTTCAACGGCTCTCACATCCCAGGAAGTCCTTTCCAGGTCCGAGTTGGAGAACCAGGACAGACCGGAGAGCCTGGTCTGGTCTCAGCGTATGGAGCTGGACTGGAGAGAGGCACGACAGGTGAGTTACTCGTCTGTCTCTTCATCTAACTCAAGACCTTTTCACTTGTGTCCTTCTAATGTGCATAAAAGCAAGTTTTGTACATTTAACAAAAGGACCACGACAGTGCTGGCTGTAAAAAAGTGTTTCAATCTTGCAGGTACCCAGTCAGAGTTCATCATTAACAACACTAAGGCGGGCCCCGGTGCCTTGGCCGTGACCATCGAGGGTCCGTCCAAGGTGAAGATGGACTGCCAGGAGGTTCCAGAGGGCTACAAGGTGCAGTACACTCCCATGGCACCTGGAAACTACCTGATCAGCATTAAATATGGAGGACCAAACCACATCACTGGCAGCCCCTTCAAGGCCAAAGTCACAGGTAAAGTGGTGAACTTCACTCTGCCTGTACTGCTCTACAACCTTACACTGCAAACCAGATGTTATTGACATACATCAATAAATAAATAAATTCATGGCTCTGTTCAGTGGTTTAGTGTATTGTTCTTTTTGTGGATAACTGCTTAAAACTATAAGTAATAATACGTGTCATTACATTTATATATTTCTACTAGCTCCAGTGCCGTTTTACAGTGGAAAACAACAATAAGAAAACAAGGAGTGACTTTCTCTCAATTGTAAAAAAATAAGATCCACTTCGTAGTTTTGATTTTAGGTTTCAAAGTTTCATGTCTTCAGCAAAGGGAAGGATGACCCTGACACAGTTTAAAATTCCTTATTTTGCCATTTAGCTACTTAAAAAGCACAAAGGGCTGGATTCAGCTAATCCTGGTAGATTCCTTGTGTCCTGTCAAATGGCATTCTGGGAAATGTAGGAGAGCAGTAACTAAAGTGGGACCAGATGATTTATGGAAAGCCCTGTTTTTCAGAGCAGCTTTTTCTTGTTACTATTGTTATCTACCTGCTTAAGTAATCACAATGTTTATTCATTTTTTTTTTTTAAATCTTCTTTCTCTTAGGTCCTCGTCTGGTGAATGTGACCAACGCCAGTGAGACGTCAACCCTGACAGTGGATCCGGCAGTAAGAGCGTCCAGCAGCAGCTTTAACCAGAGCGCCATGCCCAGGCTGTCCGACTCTGACGCCAGCAAGGTGCTGAGCCGAGGCCCTGGCCTCAGCAAGGCCTTTGTGGGCCAGAGGAGCAGCTTCTCAGTCGACTGCAGCAAGGCCGGTAAGGAAGACTCCACTAAACATTATAAAATAGGTTATAAAACTCTCCCTTTTCCTGTAGCACTTTTAACAACATACCTCTCCCTCCTCTCTCCAGGTAAGAATATGCTCCTGGTGGGTGTGCACGGTCCTCACGTCCCCTGTGAGGAGGTTCTGGTCAAACACTTGGGCAACCTGCAGTACAACGTAAGCTACGTGCTGAAGGAGCGGGGCAACTATATCCTGGTGGTCAAGTGGGGTGACGACCACATCCCAGGCTCCCCCTTCCAAGTCACTGTCCCATGATGCACCAAGAAACACGCTGTCACTCCTGCACCACTCTACATCCTTGTTTGAGAGGACACGTTAGCTGCACCGCAAATAACTGTCCAATGAACAAGTTGCTTAACAGAAATATGTGTGCTAATTTTGTTTTCAGACATGTTCAGTTCAAAGCAGATGTTTCAAAGATTTTCTGCCCTGACGCTTTTTTTTATTTTATTTTTTTTTACCTATTTAGTTGTTGGAATGTTTTTCAATCTGCCAAACTGCCCTTCGAAAAGAAAACCTTAAAAACCAATGTAAAGTTGAAGGGAAGAGTCCATGAATGGAGACTCGGTACTCTGTTAGTAGGAAACTTTTTCTGCAGTGAGTCCAGGAGGCAAGACAGTAAAAGTAGTAAATGCTGTGATCTGGCCTAAAGCTGGAGCTCTAAATAAACTGGATAAAATAAATGACCTCATTGGGAAAGAGAAATCTCACCTATTGATTTTTGCTGCCCTGAAATTATCAATTGACAAATTTTGCACTTAATACACAATAGTTTTTATACTTGATTGGTAAATTAAAGATGGCTGGTTTAACACAACACAGTTGGTAAGAATGTCCCGACACAACTTGGTGTGTCTGCACGTTTACAAAATGTTAAAACTAGATCTGGAAAAGGACTGGACCGAGACAAGTGGAGCCAACCTTTTAAATGCTTACGTTTAGAAAAATAACTGGAATTATACAGCACTTTGCTTCAGGAACAAGAAGAATATGAAAGACTCATTTAACCTGGAGGTCTGTGAGGTTTATTGATGTTTGATAGAGTACCAGGGAGCCAAATGACCAGATTCTGAAACCAACAATCCTTCAACTTTCTCTGGTCAGTCAGCTGCGACTGGCAAACCATCAATTACCAAATCTGTGCAGAACTTTTCTCAACATAATGATGAAGTGCTGTGAACGAAACAAATGAGTCAACATCTCAATTAAAAGACGTAAACTGGTATTACCTGCGTTTGGTTTATAGTCAGCATCGTGTTTCTTTAAAGTGTGGTTGGACCAGACTTGCTCCGATAGGAAGTGTCAAACTGTACGCGACTACTGATGTTTATTGCTGATTTCTTGCTCTTGAAACGTAGCTCCCAGAATCCCATGAGTACATAATGTTGCCATAACCAATCAATTACTGTTAAAGCTGCCTTCACTGTACAACAGACTACTTAATCGTGTGCTAGAGTTTTGGGTTCATCGCAGTTTTCTGTTCCTTCAGCTGCATTTTCACATGAACAGATCTGACTTTTAACTGTGTGGCTCAGTCCTGATGTGCTTCACGTCTGCCTAGATTGAGTAGAAGTTACACTCTGGTAGGGATGCTGGACGAAAGGGTTCAGATTTGATATTGATGTTAATCAAAGTCTGTCATCCTTAGTGTTGCTCTACCAGTGATACTCTTTGCAGTGAAAGTACAATCAAATACACACACTGTCAATCAATGCATAAAAAGCTATGATCTGAGCTGAAAAATTAGGTCAGATTTTTGGATTGTGTGTAAATCCTGTAGAAATCTGGATGAATCTGTCTTTGTCTTATCTGGATGTTGTTGCCTAATCATTGCTACTTTTGATACTTAAGGGATCAGAGCATTTTTGTATTGGGGAAAAAGAACTCATTTTGTATTAGGGAATGGGTGTTTTAATGTGAAATTAAACCCTGAGATGATGTACATTTGATAATTAAAATGAACTAGAATTAAGAAGATTGACCTCAGTCTTTCATTTCCTGGATCTCATTTCTTCTCTACAGCAACAGTTTGACATCCAGTTTTATTCAGAGGCAACACGAGGTTGGAAGTAGCAGTAGCAGTTCCCAACCTTGGGGTCACCAAAGCTTCACAGGGGGTCGCGAGGCTTTCTTATCTCTGCATTTCATTCATTTCTGTGAAGAAAATAAAATGAAATTGTTATTTTTAAATAAAGAGAGATTAATATTCAAGTTCTAAACTTTAAAGACCTGAACACAAGCTATATTCACAGTTTAACATTATAAAAGTACAGTTAAAAGAACCAACAAGCTAACAGAATGATAAGGAGAAAACACAATTTGTCAGAAAAGACAAGTATGAGGGTTGTTAAAAAAAAGTAGATTATACAGACAGAATTGTATAAGAAATGTACCTAAAATGATCAGGAAAGCTAATCTGTGACACAGTATCATAGAAAATAATCTGCTCAAATTTTATCCAAACCACTAATTTTACACAAACTTCCTGCAGTTATTGTGTTCACTATTTGTGTTCATGGTACGGTTTAGTCATTCTGTTATTGTTTATGAATGGATGTTTCATATTATATTCAATGCATATGTCACTTGTCATATGGCAGGAGTCGTCAGTTTACTCAATGATAGAAAAGGATTCCCTTTAGGAAAAAGGTTGGAAACAAAATGCTGCTGCAGACTCTATAAAATTAATTTCAACATTAGTAGAGCCACAACTCAAAGTGAAAATAAGTTTCCTGGACATCTGCACAGGAGGGAAAGGAACCATAACTGCCTGAGCTTCACTTCTGTCTTCAGAAAATGGCTTACAGATAAAAGTAGCATCCTGTTTGCTATCCTACCCTACTGTCATGTAGCCACGACTTCTGTAGAGTGTCTGCAGAGATGGTGGTCTGAGAAACAAACGTGTGAGTGTCTAATTTGTGAGCAAATGCAGAGGTAACCACCTGTTAGTTCTTTGTTAAAGAACCTGTGTGAGACCTTCTTACTGGAGAGAGATCAGAGAGCTTCAGCAGGATCTGAGGCTCTCTGCAGTCTGCACTGAAACCAAACTCTTCTGTCTGAACATCCAGGCAGGCAAGTGTGTGTCGTCTGCAAGAGATTCAAAAACACAAACAACCACAGATTCAGACCTGTTGATGAAGCTGCACAGGATCACAAAGAGAAGCTCCCTGAAGCCCTTATAGGAGAACATATTAAGGTCCAGGCCCAGCTCACAGACAGGCAGATTATATGCCTCTCAGAATATGACGTTGTGTGCTGCCACTCTAAATCAGTTTCAGTAATAAAGCTTATGGACACTACAGGATCAAAACTATCCTACAATTCCTGGCATTTGTTCAGACAACATTTCTTCCAATATATAAAAGAGAAAAAAGCAGAAGGAATACCAAACCAATGGGCAAAACCAGATAGTTTACCTTAACACAACTCATCCTTCACAAGAATTGCCACAGTCTGATCATCAGCAGACAGAGATTTAACTTCATACATGTTTAATCATTTGCAACCTGCACAAACACACACTTTGAATGAAACAAGAGTCATGGTCTGACAAAACCACACCCACTCTCCAATTCCCCTGAAATACCAGGAAACAGTTTGTTATTCTTACTCTGACAGATATAACAAAAGAAAAGTAAGTTTCACCATCCAACTAAACCCACGACATCCACTAAAGGACGACAGTTAAAAGTGGGATTACTGGAATATCACTGATATAACCTGCTCAAACAGAGCTGCTCAATGTAACTCTCTAGGAACATTACAAAGGAGGGGATTTACATCTGACCTAATTTCTGTTTTAAGTTCTGCCTGGTTTGTTTTAAACTTCTACTGGAGAGAAAATTGCTTCCCCATCAGAGATGATCTGTCCTGTCCTGTCTACAAAGACAGCTTTAGAAATCCTGTTTTCCTGTTAATCGACCATGAAGGAGAACTCCAGAAAGTCCTGAAGCCCTTTAAAGAGAAACTGAAGCTCTTTGAACAAGTTAAAGGAAACTGTGATCAAACAGCAGAACACATTAA